CTCTTGCTGCTCTCCCTTCCGAAGTGTAATGACAAACCAACCCTCCTGGCATAGCCCGAGCAGACGGACCTAATTTCTGCTTTGCATAAAAAAGTCAAAACCACACATGAGCACTACGAATGAACAGAGGAAAGAAGGAGGAGAGGAGGAAACAGCACCAAGCATCAGATCTCCTTAAAGCCTTACAGCTGAAGCCTCCATCTCAGAGGAGATCACATTTCAACAAGATTGAGTTTAAGTGGTGGAGACAGAAGCTGCATGAAAGGGAGGGAGGGAGAGAGTTTCTTGCTCTAGTAATAGTAGTGCAGGAAAAATGGCACAATATAATTTACAGAGAGCCAAAAGCTACAGACTAAACTTTAGTGTTGAGCATTGCTCATATGAACCAATACGAAAGTGGAGATCAAAAAGTTTTTTTTTAACTGAAGCATGGTTAATGATCTACCTAGATAAAATGGAATTCCCTTTACTTCCCATTTGCCTTCTGAGGGTACGTGCATCCAATTTTTACCTTTTCATATAGTCAGTAAAGTACTTATTCAGTAGACATTTGGGCTGATGGAATACCCGACTCGGCCTAAATCAAGTTTGTTGCTCAGGCAACGCTTGCTTGCTCAGGGAACTTCTGAGGAGCTCTGGATGGGACAGGGTTAAAGTCTCCTCCCTGGGGCTGTGCTTGCTACCGCTAAAATTAAACCACAGCTGGTTCCCATTAGCCTGCAGTGACACTAGGAGACTGTACTTAAGCTGTGCTGCGGGGGCTCCGCCGCCCCACTCAGATAATACTACTGTCCCCTGCCACAGGCCAAGTTTAAACTAGCCCTGCACAGCTTCTGCTGGCAACGACTGTTTTCAAACCAGGAGGAAAGAAGATGAGAGAAAGGTGAGAGTTATATAGGGAGAACATTATGGAAAAGAGCCTGACTCTGGTGAGAGGTGGAAAACATTGAGCCTGTCATCACGTTTGAGTTCATCAGGGGAGAAAAACATTTACATGATAATGTGAAAGCCATAAGGACCAAACTATATGAAAAAAAAAAAATGAGAGAAGCACAATAAATATCGGTATCATAGCAGCTATCAATATTAAGAGGTTTTTTTTTCATTTAGTGTTTCATTTTTCATTTATTTATGCAGCTTTGCTGTATCAGCCAGAATCAGATAAAAATGCAGAGCGATTAACTAAATCCCAAATACAGAGTTCATAAACTTTGCCTCGTAGCACATTTCAAAGTTATTATAATGATTTTTTTCTTTTTATCAGGCATATCATCAGACGGCTGCTTGTGAAGCCACATAATTAAGGTGCTCTTGCCTAGCTGTGTTTCACATATTCTTTACAACTCTACATTTATCTCTAAATTGCTTTTACAGTTTGGGAGTCTGGCAGCAAAACACAGCGTGCACATTGAGAGTAACAAATGAGACGTTGATGACTGATTTACAGCGTGAGAAATAAACCAATCAGCGGTCTTATAAGGACACCTCAGCCAATAGGCAGACAGCAATCGCACATTCCTGATGACAGGCAGCACATATCTCACATGGTTTTGCATGTTGGGATCAACTGCAAGTCTGAGCGCTTTCCAGTTAGGGTAATATTTTAGCCGTAGTCTATTAAAGCCATAGCTCTTAAGAGGGATCTGTTTGTGGAAAAGGTTAACAATCAGTTTAATTAGGAACAGAGGCTGGGGCGCACGCATGAACTCTCCCGGTCTGACACTCACCGCTCTAGAGGGAATTCACCATGTCAGACGTTCACCGTTTGAGTGTGTGTGAGTATAGAGGAGAAAAAGAGACAGAGAATTAAAGGATGAAAGGAAAACAGAGGGCATGTGAGTGAGTGAGTGAGTGAGTGAGGAGGAACAAAGTAAGAAAGGAAGGGGGGGCAGACCTTATCAGCAAAGTTTGTCCATTCAGGATTTCCTTACAAAAAAAAGAGAAATGAAACTCCAACTCTGAAATGTGTTACATAAATATAAATCTGTCAAGAGCACTTGTTAAGGTCATTGTATTTTCATGCTTTTTTTCAAAAACTTCTAAAACAGGTGACATATATCTTATTTAAAACAATGACTAGGAAGCACAAGACACAAGTCCAGATGAGGATATAAATTACACTTATTTCAACAACTATAAGTGACATTGTGTTAACGTAAAGACAATTTCTACCTGATCAATCATTTAAAAATACTTTCAATGATGTAACCAAATAAAGGTCAGTAACTTCCTTTAAAATAATAATAATAATAGTGGTGGAATCACATGCTAATACTATGGTACTTCAAAATATATCATGGTACTAAAATGCATGTACAATGGCATTTACATTGTACTCCAGGGTACTTTTTAAGAATACTACAGAATATGCAAAAAAATAAATAATAATAAATGCTATGCAAATAATAATAACACTATGGTAGTAATACCACAGTACTTTTTTGTAAGTAGTAACATGCACTGAACAAAATTACCTAAAATGTGCTTCAATGTGGTAACATCTAAATTGATTGATTTTATTCAATCATAAAATATATCAACAAATACTATCTAACATCACAGAATCAACCTAAATACAATAGGTTAATTTTTAAAAGTTCAATTTCCAGTGCACTCTGAGCTTACATGAACATGAAGAATTGTATTTTTATTCAACATAACAAAGATTAATAAATGCTGTAAAAATTGTTAGTTGATGTTAGCTAAAGCATTAACTAATGTTAACGAATGGGACCTTATTGTAAAGTGCTATCTTAATATTTAAAAGAACTTTAACATACCGTGTAAATGATATTATAGGCTATGAACAGAATAATCACCATCAGATACCATCAAAGTACCACGGTACCAACAAAGTACTTTAAAGGAAACTAAATGTCCAATGCATTAAAATGACCCATCTTGCAAGCCTTGCATCTCAAGCATAGTAAGTAAATGTTGCAAATGCAGAGAAGTTGCTTTCAAAAGGATGTAAATAGTACAAAACAAGTAGTCGCAACAATTCAACATCACCCAATGCAGTGGTATGAGTGTGTGAGTAGGGTAGGATCTGGATAAGTGTAGGGGTATGCATCGCGTGGGCTGTATTTTGAAGGCAGACGGTGTGAGGCTCATTAAAGCTGCATGGATCTGAGTTCTGGCAGAGGTGACAGACAGGTGGATAGGATTACCAGTGAGCCCGGGTTCAGAAACACGCATGCTCAGCCGCCCGTCAGCACGGGGATCGACGCCCAAACCCTTCACGTCTTTTTAAATAATTAACAGCCAAAGATTAGTCCGTCAGCCTCAGGGCCAAAAGGTTCATTGATTTCTCACAGATGCATTTTTAATGAGCGCATCTCAGTGAGGCAGTGTCCGTGAAGAGAGGCTTCCTTGTCCACAACAGCGTAAGAAACACCAGCAGCTTTGCAAGAGGCTTGTGGTAAAAACACAAACAAAGCCAGTAAATGCCTCTCTAATGTCTCGCACTAACGTTCTTCTACACAAAGGCTTGAAGGGAAAGGTCTCAGGGGTGACCTTAAAAGAACCTATGGCAAAATGCTATTTAACCCAGTCCAAGCGTTTCCTTTAATTGGTCTTGTGCGACCATCCATAAAGCTGTTATGTCGGCGGTATATTTCCTAATCAGCCTTTATGAACTGTAAACATCTCGGCACCAGAGTCTTTAAAGTGTTAGATGGCTTGAATTAGAATTGAATCACATTTGGTAGTTGTGACAGACACACTAAGAAAGTGATCGCCGCATCTGCGGACAAGTGCGGCTGACAGAGTGCATGATGGTCTCAATTACGTATTTCCCTTTCTTTACATTGTAAAGTATCACAAGAGATACAACAAGAAAAAACATTTCTGAGAACCTGATTTACACTCTTAAAAATAAAGGTTCTTCACTGGCATGTATGGTTCCTTTTAAGAACCTTTAACATCCATGGAAGCTTCTTTAGATGATTAAGATCAAATGTTCTTCACACTACTATGAAAACCCCCTTTTAGAACCTTTAAGTGTGTACTATACGTTGAACATGATTAAATGAGCTCAAAGGTAGCTCACCCAAAGATGAAAATTGTGTTATCTTTTACTCGCACTCAAGTCTCTTTTTTTTTTTTTTGACCCCCATTGACATTTATTGCATTGACATTTTTCAAAATATCTTCTTATGTGTTTCACAGAAGAATGCAAGTATAGGCTTAGACCAAAATGAGGGTTAATAAAGACAGAATTTTCACTGAATTTCTGACAAAATATTCCAAATGAACACGCTTTTTAAAAGTGACCTTACAAAGCTGACATGGGGAGAAGTTATGGTTATAGGCCTCTGACATGCATGGACAGCTTTGACTAGAATAACAGAAATAAATATGTAGTTTAATAGTGGTTATAAAATGGAACAAAGACGGTGCAGTGCGGAATGGTTTTATTTTACATTCGTATGGGTTTAGGGAGGCTATGCATTCCTTAAATCTACAGAAACAAGAGGGAGTTGTTGAAAGACCAATTCAAAAATGTAAAACCGATGAGCGTGTCTGAAATAATACTGCTACAGAAATAAAATTGAAAGTTTAAACATCAAATGGAAACCTGTGCCATGTTTCATTCAAGAAATATTGCTGTCTGCAGTGTAATATTTCAAGGGTTCATTTTTCATTGAGATGTGTGAGAGAGAAACATATCATTATGGAAAATCAAGGCTTTTGCCCATCTAAACCATGGATACGTCTGGTTTGAGAAAGCGACACACTTCCTCTACTGTGCGTAAAAGAAGGAAAAGACGAAAGAGAAACAGAAATTACTTCTTCAATCATTCCTCAGATTTCATAAATCATGCATGTGACTTTTTTTGAAACTGACTAAAAGTTTTCATGAAAGTCTTGCATGTTACTATTATCATACATTTGTATGAAAGTGTGCATATATGTTTATGACCTGATTTTTAAAAAAGGGAGATAAGGGGAGCAATTGAGAGCTTAAATGAGGGGCAGGAATGTTGTGTCAGGACTACCTTTCCCGTCTCCCGCTCGAAGTCCACATATTCTCGGCTGGGCGCCTGCCGCTGATCCCCATGAAGGTTGGCTGGGAAGAACTGCAGCGAGAGGTTGGTGCCGGTTGCCACAAAAGCCTTTTAGAGGGAAATCAATACAAACAGGATAAGAAAGCCAGGCCCGAGCATAAATTATGCAGCCCATCATTTCTGTTTTCACATCAGAGGGAAGAGGAGAATGCCTGGAGCCAAGGCCAGCGCTCAAATCATCAGGAAAAGAAGGGAGGAGGGGATGTGGGGAGGTTGGGTGGTGCACAAACGCAAAGAGAAAAAAAAGACCCAAGTCATCATTTTCTCTATTTCAGGTATTGAGTTACATACATCTGATTCTATTTTACCAACGCTCATTGCTGGCAAACTGGGCTGCACCAAACTGAGTTTGAGAGGAGACAGAACGCAGGAGTGAATGAGTGACAGAGAGATAACAGAGACAGAGAGGAGTACAGAATCAATAATTGTTTTAAATGCAGCCCCTCACTTACATTAATAGCAGTTGGACTGCTGTAAAGGTTTTGAATTATGGTACAATAATTCAATAACATTCTCAAAGAGCATGAGCAACAAAAAATAAATAAATACATAATTTTATACCAAACTGGCTTGCAGAATTCTGTTGCATTTTAATTTTATATGTACAAATATATATTAAAATTAATCATCGGATTCTCTTTAACTTATATGCTCAAACATACATAAACAGTAATATTGTAAATTATATTAATATTCAGCATCATATCAATGGACATACAAAAGGCATAATGACATGACGAAAATTACTCTCTGTAGCTTTGTAACAGACCTGTTTGCCTGTGAACCTCAACATTTAATCTACTTTTGACTTTAGGGGCAAATAAGGCCAAATGTGACCACATCTTACTGATTAAAGAACTTAAGTGCAGACAGTCGCAAAACATGTAGGAATTATACAAACAAAACGAACTCTTTTTTTTTTTTTTTTATATTAGAAATGCTCTAGTAATGTTTTCCATTAAGTTACTGGTCAGTAAACGATCACTATCAGCTGTAAGGCCTGTAAATTGATATTTATGATGAAATTCTGCCAGAAAAAAAATCTAAGTACATAAAAAAGTGACATCAAACAGAAATAGTGGAATCTATTTTATCTATCTAGTCTATAATGTTTTTATGAACAGAATAAATATAATCTGAATTAAAGTAACAGTTGTCTCATCTATTCTTAGAAATATGATGGGTAGCAAAATCTATCTCGAAACAGCCCTGAAGACATGAGATACAAACAAAGAGATAAACAAACCTCCCCATGTTAGCAAACCAGTCAAAGAAAAGGGTATGACACAAGTGAATCTAATGCAAATCTGTTTTTGATAGTTTTTTTTTTTTATATATATCAATAAAAAGGCGAAATTTTAAAAATAGGCGAAAAAATAAAACAGGCGAGGGAATATATGATAACATGCAGTCCCAGGGTATTTTTAAAGAGATTGTAAATTAGACACGTCCGAGTTCATCTGCACCCGTGAGACGCGTTTCTGATGATAATTAAAAGAAGCCAAGAGGCACTTTATGTTTAAGGATTGATTAATTATTTGTAGTCCTAATGATACAGCGAATTAAATACCAACAAGTCAGTATAACACGATATGGATCATAAATGTTCTCTGCTGCAGTGTTTTTGGCGCTCATTACATATAAGGAAGTATATGAACAGTTTTTGGTGACGGCGTGACAGTTCCGGATGCCATAATCACGTTAATGTGTTTAAGTATTGAGTTGCCAGCACTGATGCGGGGTCAGCAGTCATTGACCGGTGCTGTGAGGTGCGTGTACTCACTATCTCTGAGCGGCCGTCACGGCACGCGTTCTGGAAGCGCGCCTGCCTCTCTTCGTGCGGCCGATCGCGGAAACCGGTGTATTTAATCTGTAAACAGGGATGAAAGAATCACAAGAGTCTGGTTATAAAAGAGCTTCATTAGAGTACACTGTAAAAAAAAAGTAATTACTATAACAACATCTTTATGTTCCTCTATTTAATTTGTCACAATATTTTCCGTCCTTTATGCTCAGTTTTATGATGTTTTGTTTACATTTCAATGTTTTCTTTAGTTCATCCGTATTTGAATACAAAGTGGTCAGAAGAATGTAATGAACTTATTCTTACAGATTTCCTTAAAAACAGTTAGCCTAATATTAGTATATGGCACGGGGTGCACATTTGTTGAGATTAAAGTCGAATAATGAACATATTTGCAAGCTATCGGAAAATATGTTGAAAATGCGCGCGTTTGAAATGCAAAATGTCTGATATGGTTTTAAATTCGGATAAAAAGCAAACAAACTTTCATTATTGTACTAGAGTTAAAATGTGAGGTGCAAAGGTGCGTCTTTTAAGTCTGCTACATCTATATTTTTGTTGTTACATGCTTGCGATATATAAAAAGTAATTTTGTAACTGCCGTGAATGGAGGGTTGAAAACTTTTCTCAGCACAAAGCATTGGCGGTCGCTACACAGAGGTTGTTAAAGAAAGAGGCGATGACACGCTTGTTTTCATGTCACGCGAGAGGTGCAACTTTGTTTCCGCCACTTCATCAAATGTCTCTTGGATGAATCGAGCTCACCTCGCACTCGCGACTGAGTTTCCTGAAGAACTCCTCGTTCTCGAACTTGCTCCTCTGATCCGGGACCACCCGAGGCATCTTGATCGCGATTTGATCAATTGTGTTAATTGTATTTGTCTAAACTTGCAAAGAGAGTGAAGCGTTGTTTTGAAACACGCAAGTCCCGCTCTTATTTCCTTCCGTCTTTTTCTCTTCTTCTAATGATGGAGTATGTTGCAGTGAGCTTTGTATTCTTTAAAATGTAAAACCTCCTTCGGATTTCGCGTCTTGTGGGGTCCGTGAGTTGTACTGCACTAGATTTGGCAGTAATTTGCACTTGGCTTGTTGTTCTTCCTCACTCTCGCGCGTGTGATCCCCGACTGCTGACAACAGACGCTCGCTCGCGCTACTTTATCCGTCTCATGAGCTGCATGGCTCACAGTTACTTCCTGGCTCCTCGGAGTCCGACTTATGACTGTAAACCCAAATACTCCCCCCATTCACAATTCTCTCCACTATGGACCGTGTGTGCGCAGGCGTTAAATACACCACAACTTCATTGCGCGAAATGCTTGGTATTAAAGTTGTTACCTGTGTTAGAGATTGTGTGTGGAATTTCTAAACGCATCATGTTAGCGATTTTCTTAGAAACAAAATGACGTGCTCTCATCAGAGTATGTAGATAGATAGATAGACAGACAGATAGATAGATAGACAGACAGACAGATGATACATGGGGGAAATATTTATTTGATCCTCTGCTGATTAAATTTGCCCACTTTCAAAGAAATGAAGGGTCTGTAATTTTTATGGTAGGTTTATTTTAATCGATAGAGACAGAATACCGACCAAAAAATTCAGAAAAAACACATTATATAAAGGTTAGAGATTGATTTGCATTTCAGTAAGTGAAATAAGTATTTGATCCCCTACCAACCAGCAAGAATTCTGGCTCCCACAGATTGGTTATGTGCCCATGTGGAACACAGATTAGTCCTGCCACTTTAAGAAGTTACTCCTAATG